ATGGACTATCATGTTTTACAGACCAGTATTTTCATTAAGACAAGTTCTTTCTTTGGGTAACATTTTCATTAAGACAAGTTCTTTCTTTGGGTGACATTAGTGTTTACTTTTGACCTTGATCTTGGAGTTTGACTTGCATTTGAGAAACTTGCACTTCACTTCTTGAGAAAAGGTCTACTAATTTTCCTGAATACCCAGGTTAGTAAGAAAACCATGGAAACCTAAAGTGCATAAGACTTTTCATGACAATTGAGTAAATTCAGAAAACAATGTCATTTACCCAATGAACAGTGACACATGCATAAATTCATCCAATGACCTACATATTTTATGTAAAAAAAAATTAAAGTACAAATATTTCCAATCTTCATACACGTAGTTAAGTGAAAAAAAATTGGCTTGATGCATTCTTGCATACACAGACAATCAGACTAGAGTTATTATTTCTGACTTAAATAGAAGCACTATTCTATATAATGCAGTCTTAATAAAAGAAGAAATAAACCACATTGATTTTTTTCCCTTCACAATTCATTTTTCTCATAAATCTTGTCTATGAAACCTATGATGCTGCATCAAAAAGGAACAAAAAATAAAATTTATAGGTACAAAGAGCATATGTTATATAGCTGAGTTACTGATTTACTTATCCATAATACAGCAAAATAGCATAATATGGATTGCATCAGCATGTTCTAGGAATTCAGAAAATATATATAAATCTTTCTGCAACTAATTGTTTCTTTTTTTGAAAAATGTGTTCTTATGAATGAAAAATTCACATACCAGCTAGTATATAACTGTAGCTTTGAATTAAATCTATGTTGGGTATATCATTTTATCCACTGATTACTAAATACATTTTGAACTAAAGAATAAGGGTCTTGCATGTTCTTTTATAAAAAAGATTTCAGACAATTTGTTTGTTGTTTAACATCCCTCTTCAGAAATTTTCACTCATATGGACACATCACCACTTGCCGATGGAGAGCTGCAAAATTTTGTCCTATACTCAGCACTTACGGCCATTGAGTAGTGAGGGATGTTTTCGTGCAAGCGCCTACTGCAACAAAGGACCTTGGTTTATATGGTTTCATCCCAAGGACTGGTCTTCACGTCCCACAGTGGGATTTGAACCTGCGACGTAAGGATCAACTCCTTACTCCTCGCCTCTAGAGCAGATGCTTTAACCACTGTGCCACGTGGGTGAGCCAACTCAGATAATTTGAGTTCATGTACATGTATACACAACAAATGCATACATACTTATTAATTGTGAAAGACTCATAAGAGACACCCCTGAAAGAAATACTCAATATAGACATGATGACTTTAAACAACTCAAGCAGAGTCAGAAGAGATAATCTCACCACTGAAAATGGTGAAATTACAACCTAGGGGATTTAAATGGTACAATGGATTTGAGGGGGTCAAAAATTGTAAAATTAAAAAAAAATTAGAGAAGTTTGCAGACCTGTAAGATAAATACATGTAAATGCTGGCAACAAGGAAAGTCTATAAGCTTAATTGTTGATATGCATTTGGAACAATCACAAAAACGTTTTGATTTAAAATTTGATGTATTATTAAACCTTTTGTAAGCATATGCAGCATTGCTCTGATATCAAATGTTTGATTAATGTCCTAACCTTAACTCTATGAAAAGGATGATTACCCAACAGAATTTGTTTTCCTCCTTCTTTGCATTGATTTATGACAGCTTAGACTATAGGAACAATGACTTCCTCCAAGTTTTGTAAAAATATGGGAGAAAAGATCTGCAAATAAGTTTTGTGATCCCCTGGAGCAAAAAGAGAACTGAACCATTTTTCTTGATCAGCCATTTTTTTCTTCCTACAATTGACAGTTTTCTGGCAAGAACAGATAGATCAATACAACCTTCATACAATCCTGGTAAAGGGGTATTGCATGCCTCCGGGGAATCTATGTATGAAAGCCATAGCCACGGACCCAAAGGGATCTCTGATATAGCTTTAAAACTATCCTTCGCACGTCACTTTGCCTACACCACCCAGCCAGTACTAGCAACCGAACCTGTTCACTGGACCTGAATCAATTTTCTGTAGGGTTTATCATGGTAATTAAGGTGAATCGAGAATTAAACATTCATTATGGGACCCTGAAACAACATCTTCTGAATCCCTAGCGTTAGAGGTGTTTTTAAAAGAGGTATTTTTAGCTCTTTCAAGCGGAATGAAAATGTTTTTTACTGCCCAGTTAATGTAATGTTTTTATAAACCTGCTGAAGAAGATCAGGTCTTGAAGCAGTCGCTATCAAAGAGGAACACAATAAACAGCCTGTAATCTCTCAGATCAATAATAAAGATCCTCCACATTTAATTGCTTGCATCATAAGTGCTATAATGCTATGGATTTCTTTCTATAATTTGCAATTGATAAATACTATAACGGAATTGATACCACTAGAAGGTGCTGACAAAACAAATTAACCTGGATTTCTTTTTACTGCAAGACAATTCCCTCTACTAAAATTCTCTTTTTTTCAAAAATTATAAAGATTGGGTATCAAAGAACACAAAAAATGGTGGAATTTTAATGTCTTTGAAGTTTTCAACTCATGCTATGCCAAAAAATTAATCATAGACAATATGACTCCCATAGACATTCATTATTAACCAAGATAGTACAGTTACCTGTGGGGAAATTTTTGAGTACCTATAGATGCACTTTGATAAGGTGCCACTCAAAATAAATACATGATGCTGGGCTAGCCAGAAATGTCTTCACACACAGCCTCGCCCTTTGCAAGAACACAGAAACGTGTCAAAGATTAACAAGTACTGATGTACAAGGTGTAATTTTATTTGCTTCTATCCCACTTAGGTTTAATGCAAAGTAATGTCAAGGGTATATGTACCTTATAATTGAAAGCAGAGCTAATTAGTTATAGTTGCTAAGACTACAAACAATATTTCTATAGCAACACCAAATAACAGATAAGTATTCCATATCATATATTATATGTAGGTGTGGCTAATACAAATCTGACCAGATAAATGGTGAAATGATTTTTCAGGAAAAATGGTAAAGATTCAAAACATATTTATCACTGATATTATTTTTACCATAGATTATCTTGAAATCAAGTGCATAATTCTTATAAAAACTAAGTAAATAAACCAATGATGCCAATTAACAGATCTCCTTTAGACTAATCTTCACAACTTTACTAGATAAAATATGCATTTATTTATTTCAATTTTCTGCAGCTTCAACTCCTGATGTGTGGTTTTGTATAAATTGCTCATATTAAATAAAATATTCATTTTCTTATAAACTGCATGCACATCCCAGATAAACCATGAATAGTACAATGTTAATTCCTAAAAACTACCTTAGACCAAAGAAATTCAGGTAGTATTTTCTGAGCGATATGTTGAGAACAAAAGCACATTGAAATGAAACATGGGCTTCAGCAATTATTTTGTAACATTTTTTATGGACTGCATGTATTAATAATGCCTTGAAAGGGGTGAGGGGAGTAGACCCGAACAACTTTCTTTATAATCATGATAATTTCATAAACAAAACAATTAAGAAAACTTAACACAATTCCTGAAGCATTGCCCTTACAATTGTTCATCGACTTTTAGGATGGAAAAATTTGCTTCAATGTTTTCGAGTTTTAACAGAAATCTCCACTTCAGAGAAAGACTGAAGACGAGTCTCTAAATTCATTACATAATAATGTAAACTTGTAAAGTTGGTTTGTGATGCTTGAGAAACTGAATTTCGTGGCTGGTATTTGAAGGAATCTTTTGATGGTAAAGAATCCACTCTTTTTTTCCCCCAAGCATTGTAAGGAGAGAACAATATTTTTTAAAGTTCTTATTGTTACAAGCTTCTAAAGCTGTACTTATACAACGACAATGGATATTTGATTCCAAATGAAACGTGAAAGACCTTAAACGTCCAGGTCAGCCCTTACATACTTTCCAAAATCTCAACTATAGGAATTATCATTTCAGTTCCAGTGCCAAGAAAGTTAAAAACATACTTATGCACTTCATGCAAGAGGCACATGTACCTGTACAAAAAGGTACAAGGTGAATATTGCAGGTTTGTCAGAAGTTCCCACATCAACCAACATGACCAAAGTGTTATTATTTTCTGAATATTAAATAATTATAAGTTGTTTGAACATGTCAAATGTAAACATGATGAGAAGGACCCATCAACGAGGGCTCCTTTTAAACTCTTCAAACAGTTATCAAAATACTATTCATGTACATAAATAATGTTAGTGAAGTAAGTTTCCTTTCAAATATGGGGTAATATTTAGTTATTCCCCAAATTAAGACATGACTACTGGGCCCTTACAATGGTGACATCTAGAGCTGATTAATGAATAATGCATACATTAACAGAACTGGCTATTAGACAGTGAATAATTAGCTGTTCCTCTTCACAGAGAAGATGGTGAATATCTATACCATGGTAAATATTTGCATCATCATCAACATATGTATTGCAGATGTTGCGGAGGTCAGGTTAAATACATCCAAACCCGCTCCACAAATCAATACACTTATACCAGTTAATAGCCAATTGTTCATATGTCTATTGAAAAAAATGATACCTTTGCGCACAATGGTACTCACTTTGCCATGCCAAGAGTTTTTATGTGTTTGATTATTTGCCGTATACAATAACACACAATACACTGAACAATCCCAATAACAACCGTCCTTTGCTATTATTTTTTTAGTTTATTTAAAATTAGGAGAGATTTAAATTCTATTTTCATAAATGACAATGGTTGAGATAATAACTCTTTAATATCAATGATGAATGTGAACATAACCCCAATAGGGCCAATACACATCAAACACAGTAATGCCATTACTCTAGCATCATATGCTGGACAAAAGCCCTTTGTATATGGATCCAAATCTGAAGCAAATGATGGTTGCAGGATTGCATTAACTAAAGTAATTATGATAAATGGATGCTCCTACCTTGTTTGTCGAATGGTTATTGCCTCAGCGCTTTGCTTTCTGGAGCTGTCTCTGTAACTGGTTTGGGGTGGAGGTTCCCTTTTTGCTCTACTCTTCTATTTGTTGTCTCCATCATCATCTTTCTTTCTGGCTGTTCACCTGAGAGGATGCTTATTCCAAGATAAGTTTAAATTCCCGTAACCAGACAAAGTGTTTCCCAATAAGCACATATGGTCTTCAATAATTGAGCAATAAAGATTTTGAACTAAACAGTTAAATGTTACAATAAAAGCTTTTTTAATAGTCAAATAAAACACTTTGGATGACTACAGTGAAATAAAATTCAGTACAGGCAATTCATACCTGTAATTATGCAGGGACACGGTAAAATCCAACATAAGGACACCACACACTTTCTCTTTTGAGATTTCACACTGGAATCAATAATTTTCATTCACAGGGAAAAACAGTAAACATCAAAATGTATTTGGTCACAGAAAACGGCCTCAGTTGTAGGAAGAGAAAATTTCACATCACTATAAAGAACTTCAAATTGCTTAGGCTGTAATCCAAAAAAACCTTGTGCATTGGTTGAAACAAATAAATGATATCTATTTATTCTATGATGTTGAATACTGATTGTTGATTGATGTTCTTATTAAACACTGTGTCAGTATAATTCTACTTTGTGTGTGGGAACAAAAAAACTTTTTGATACATAAAAAGGGACTGTTCAACATTGGTGTCATACATCTGTTTCAATGCTCAGATTATTTATGCTAGAAGGATTATTTGTCTGGTTAGTATGGTTTTCTTTGCTTCGGTCACAGTTCAGATTAAAGCTACTCCCTTCCTCCATTTCCATGATGTTGTCCGAGCCACTATACGATGCTATTGAATTTTTCTTGCTGTCTGAGAAGTTTGGACATGACTGAACATGCTGGTATGATGTTCGATCTTCACTTTCTGTCTCTCTGTGATAGAAGTAATTGAAATTGGAAACGATGACAGGCACAGGCAATGCAATAGTTAATACCCCAGCAATGGCACAGAGAGATCCAACCAATTTCCCCCAGAATCCAATTGGTCGCATATCACCATAGCCAACAGTTGTCATCGTAACAACTGCCCACCAAAATGCATCGGGGATACTTCTGAAATGAGTCTGTTCAGCATCTTGCTCTGCAAAGTACACTGCACTTGAAAAAAGAATAACTCCAATGATAAGAAAGAATATCAACAGTCCTAACTCTCTCATACTAGCCTTGAGAGTTTGACCTAGAATCTGGAGACCTTTCGAATGTCTGGATAATTTGAAGATTCGAAACACTCTCACCAATCGGATGACCCTTAGAATTGCCAATGACATCGCCTGGTTATTACTTTTGTTTTCATCAGCAATGACTGTGCCAAGGGTGATAAAATATGGAATGATTGCCACAATGTCAATAAGGTTCATAATATTTTTGAAAAAGTGAAACTTGTGGGGACAAGAAGCATAACGCACTAAAAGTTCTGATGTAAACCAAATAATACAACAAGTTTCAATAACAAAAAATGGCTCATTGAACTTTGGAATATCATCTTCTTCAACTGATGCAGCTGTAGTATTTACTTTTGAATTTGTTTCATTCACTAATCTGTAATGTTTGAACCTAGGCAATGTCTCTAAACAAAATATAACAATTGACAACAAAATAACTATTACTGAAAAAATTGCTATAAGTCGAGCTGCAGTTGAACTTTCAGGATATTCAAAGAGTAACCATACTCTTCTTTGGAATTCATTTTCTGGAAGGGGTTTTTCTTCTTCTTTGATAAATCCTTCATCCTCACGATATTTCTCTATTGCTTCCTCTCCCAAGTCATAGAATTTAATTTCTTCCGAAAACACATCCAGCGGAACATTGACTGGTCGTCTTAACCTTCCTCCACTCTGATAATAGTAAAGAATAGCATCGAAACTAGGTCTGTTTCTGTCAAAAAAATACTCGTTCCGTAATGGGTCATAATATCGATTTCTCTTTTGAGGATTTCCAAGCAAAGTTTCTGGAAACTGGTTCAAAGTCTTGAGTTGAGTTTCGAAGCGGAGTCCACTGACATTGATAACCACTCGTTCACTGCACTCCAAGTCGTTTCCTTTGTTTTGTGGACTCATACAATGGTCAGGATCATCAAACTGTTTTGGAAAAGACCTGGAATTTGTAACAGAATCTTGATTTGAACGAAATCTGGATTGATTGAAATGACTAGGGGGACCACCATTTCCCTGCTCTAGCCCGGCCATACAAACCTCCATGGTAATGCAATATAGTTTTTTTTTTAATCTACTGTATTTTGTAGGCTAAACCATTGTATTTTATTCATGTCAAGTCATGAACACCATGCATAAAACTTTAAATAAAACTTCAAAGCACCCATCACAAAATCTCTACTTAACAGTAAGTGATAAACATCGGTTAGTATATTCTAAGAGCGTCATTTTAATTATCTGCAATCAAAGTTCATGCCCTACATGTTGACTGCCTTACAAAAGACATTAGGTATTCTCATCGCACTACGGCAAATACATTCTCGCCAGATTAATATACACCTCGGGAACCTCTGACGTCAATAAATCCTCATTGTGCACATTCTTTATCGAATAGTTTTTTTGAAAATATCCTTCGGATTTTTTTTTCCACGTCTGTTTCACTTACTTTTTTCAAGAAAACATCAACAATTACTCTTACAATTATCCTGCTAACGGCAACGAGCGAAAATCGTCTGCATAATTTTCACCCGACTAGCCTACCAAACAATCAATTAAATACAGTGCGTTCACTTTGCATAAAATCCGTGTAGAAATCATACCGCACAAAGTGCTCAAATTGCTCTCAAAATGATATTCCAAATTGTTTAAGTTCATTTTAGTAGATGCGAAGCTCTAAATTTCTCAAAATCGCCTATGTTTATTGTTATCCCACTGTGACACTTGAATAATCATGCACATGGTTTAGGTTCGGGTCAAATCGATCGACCAATGAAAAGCCGCCTTGCAAATTATTAATATCATTCTCAGGTGTTCCGTGGTCAATAACAGCAGGAGATAAAAACACTTTAACTTATGATTTAGACGTAATTTATTTATACCTTTTATTGATTAAAGTTTGTCCTTTGTAATATTGGATTTTTTTCCACAGATAGAATAAAAGATTTATATTTGCTGCGTGGTGAATAATTTACCTCTTTCCTAGCAATCCGACCTTGCTTGCCGCATTGACTAACAACTAAATCTAATAGAACGATCTTTTCTTTGTGGGGAACGTGGTAAGTCGTGTGTTGATACAGCGTTGTGAGTGAGTTCTTATTGATTTATGTGCTTTTCTAGACTTACCTCGATTCTAGAAGAGTTATATTCTTATTTTCTAGATTTAAAACAACATGACTGCATTTTTGCCACCTAATTTGTTAGCTTTATTCGCCGCAAGAGACCCTATTCAATATTTACCACCGGTAGCCAAACAAGGCTTTGAAAAGAAACGTGTGCCGTATGAAGGAGTATCAGCATTCTTGAAGGAATTTGAGGTAACGTTTAGATCAAATTTATTGACTAAAAATAGTTTTTAATTCACATTATAAAACAAGTGAAAGGTATTTAGATACATGCAATAAGTACTCAACTTACAATGTTTCCAAGATGGCGGAAACCAGTGTTGCCATTTTATGTAGTCTAATCTACTGTAAAGCTATAGGTCCCTTGTGTTAGTGGAGCGGTGTCAGCCATAGTTAAAGCATTGCAAAGACTTCCATAGCAGCTTATTGAAGCAGATAATTTCAAAATCCTTTTTTCTTACATTTTGTCCATAATTATTGTTAGAAAAAGCAAAACACTGCACAAAAGCACATGCTGAAAGCGCACACCTATTGCCAGCACAAGAATAGCAGCTCCTTGCTCTTTACATCCCTTCTGGCAATCAACCCTACTGTTAGTATAACTAAGGTAATACTGTAACTTGCCTGTGCGGTTAATTGCAATGCAGTATTTATGATCAGTATTGGTAGGTCGGTGTTAGCTGGATATAAATAATTCACACATTCTCTCCATTAGATTAACATAATTTAATCGAACATCTCCACCTAAAAGAACAACATTGATCTCAGGCTTTAGTTATTGCGATAAATCCCAGGTGCTCTTTGTTTCTTGATAGTAAGCTATGATATTGAACACATCCTGATGTGTAGCAGTGTCAGAAATAGCTTCATGTCGCAACGAAGCAGTATTATCAGTCTGACTAGCACATTCACTTCGGATCAATGCTTTGCCGTTAGGAGTTCTCACAGTACAGAACTAGTGAGCTACATCATCATAATATAAATAACATTTGAAATTGATTTTTTTTTTTTCGGAACTAAATGTATCATCTTATTACAATTTATTTTGATTCACACTTGGGCTTCATCACAGTGTTTTATACATTGGAAAGTGTTTAGATAAGAATTTTATTGATTATTCATATTCAAATATACAGCCGAGTGCTTAAATAAAGCATAATGGGCTTGCCTTATCAGATTTCTGCCCAGAGATGTCTATGAATCAGACTCCGAGACGCTCTTTCTAGTTAATAAAGGTGATATGAAAATTCAGTTATTACCTGTATGTGCTCATATTAATATATTTTGATAGATGTGAAAAAGAACGTTCTATCCAGTCATGTTAAACAAGGAATAAGACTGACAGTTGCTGTGGTTCTCCATTTGCATCATTAGATGCTGAGATAATCACTTATGTAAAATATTCATGAGTGTACATGTATATTGCATACCATGAAAGTACCCTACTTCTCTCTTCTTTACAAATCAAATTTAGAGGTCAGGAGAAAATTCTGCTAATTACCCCCCAATTAATTATATCAGTCAATATTTAATTAAAAGCAACATTTTACACAAGAGAATTGCTTGTTTTTCTTTTTTTTTTTACCTTGCAAATTAGTTTAGAGGTCAGAATGAGGCAGAAAAATGAAAGAAATGGTAGTAAAAGTTATGATCTTACCCAGGTGAATTTCTTTGACAGTGGTGTTGTAACAGTGGTACGTTGCACTCGACATCTGTGCATTCTTCATCGTTGTTGCAATTTTTTCCATCCAACTCGGTTTCCTCGGGCTCCGCTGGAATAATGTTGACGGTGATTTCGGTGGGACTTAGTTGGGTCTGGCTCTGGACTTCTTGGTAGGAGGGGGGCTCGATCGAGCTTCTCTTGCCCGTCTTGTTAGCCGTGGGGTTGCTGGTAATCTCAGTGTAGCTCTGCTTGTCAGAGGACTTGGGGTTCATTTTAAAAATGTTGGGAAGACATGTTGATTTGGTGGAATCCCCATTCCCGGTCCGTGAGGAGTCGGACACAGAACTTGAGCGGCCTGTGTTGGGCTGAGACTTGCTTCTTCGAATCCGCTTGGCTGCCTGTATTCTCTCTAACCTCTGAGATTCGACTTGATCAATATCCTTAGGCTGTCAAAAATAAATGAAAAATGCAGACTTAACATTTAACAACAGATTTGAGCAGTAAACCGCTCTCAGACACATTGTATTTACTGTGGAGGGTAAGGGAATAGGGAAAGTTCTTATGAGATTTGTATTTAATTAAACAATACTTGCTTTCATGTAGTTTTAAATGTTAAGAAACTATTCTAATTTTTTTTGGTGCCAACACAGCACTGTGCCACACTTGACTTACAAAGCTTAGTGTATATACATACATTTTATTTAGATTAAGATCTTGTGATGAGAAATCATTATGTGGTACATGCAGAAATTTGGCCATTAGTTCAGAGCTGAATTTTTTTTTCATTTTCCACTCCTTTCTGTTTTATTTAAGGTATTGATGGTGTTCAGAAATGAAATCATTTCATTTTTTTTTCCCCCTGAAATACACTACAGGATCTGAAAATGCTTTTATTATGGAACAGAAATATTCATGTTTCTCTTGATGTTTTAGGACCCCAAGGATACACCACCCCCTACCAGAGTAGAAACAAAAGATGAACGTAAAGAGAGGAAGGTAAGAGAAGTGCAGAAAGGGCATGGGTATGGAGAGAACGTACATCAAAATATCATTGGATGTAAGGTTGAATATCCTCATAATTTTGCAATTTAGATAATTGATTTTATCTCATTTTCATAAATAAATGTTTTCCAAGGGAATTAGACTGCAAGAGAAGTAGAGTTAGGATGTACAGTAATTGTCTTTATAATTTTTTTCCCTTGTTTTTGATACTGAATTAACTGATATTTTATTACATTCATGAATGTAAAGATGCAAATAAGCTCTTTGTAAAAGAGAAAATATAGAGAATGTTTGATGTTTTAGCTAGGAAACTGAGAGGTTGTAATTGCCCAGCATTGTTGTGTATTAGGGAGTTGGCAGTAGCTACAGTAGGGGCTGAGGGGGATTAATTAGTGCCAGGAGCTTACATTCCTAATAAAAACATACTCCTCACCGTATTGATTGCTACTGCTAATGTATTCCACATGCAACAGGCTAATGAAGCTCTATTATATCAGTAGCTGTTAGACGGTGCTGCACAAATATTCCCTCCCCCACTTTATATTGCAGTACTGGCGGTCGTTTTATTATCTAGATTGTCCGGCTGCTGCATTCTGCTGCGGCAAAAAAAACGCAGCAGTGGATCAAGGATTTTGGGGTTTTTTTTATGTGCTTGGATGGGAGGATCAAGAGAAAAAAGTGGGTTACCTACACACATAGATGTAGATCACACCAATGTCATGACTTTCATAACAGTACAATTCTTTTTGGCAAGGGTTTATGTAAAAGGGATATAATAGCCTGTCTAACTAGTGCCGTATGCTGCGAGGTTCAGGCGTCTAACTTTAGTCGTTTACATTTAGTCGACAGTTTTGTCGTAGAAGTTTAGCCCTTTAAAATCACAAGAGGTGAGGGATTTTAATTTCAGCCAAGACGTTTTTTTTATTCTGGCATTAGTACAGGAAAAAATAACAGATTAGTGTTAGGTATTCCAATTGTATTAAATGTCTTACAGATTATATGTGTATATATATATTAAATATAATTTAGTTTTGAGAACTTGTTAAGCACATGCAATTAGAAGGACTAGAATAGATAATGACAGTAAGACTTGCCTTTGTGAAATTTAAAAAGAGAAAAAAAACACCTCAAAAGTGCATACATTCAGCAAATTGTGTGGAACAAACCCATCTTATTGAAACAAAACATTACTTTTGCATCATTGGTATTTTTCTGATAGCACCAACCTCATTCTATCAAAAGCATGAACACAGCCAAACCATCTACCCAGTCCAGTGAATAGGCCTGGATTTTGATTCAATATGGTGTGTTTTCATTTGTGATTTCATGCTTCAGAGAATCTCAGAAATGAAAAATTTGCCCTGCTAAACTTAAGCTCCTCTCATGTTTAAAAATCTCTTGTTCATAATGGTGTCAACCTTTGGCAGAATAGCCCATTTAAAGCATTTATAGATATTTATAACATCACAATAAGCCTGCAGAGGAATTGTGGTTTAAATTTTTGGAGAAAGGGTAAGAGAAGTAACTCTGAAATGTTATCTTACTTTTTGTTTCAGAGGAAAGAAAGAGCAGAACAGATTGCGTACAAGCTAGAGCAGGACTTGGCCTTATGTAAGTATTTAGTCTCAGGTGAGGGTATTGTAGTCAGAGGCAGAATGAGTGAACAGACAAGCTGTCAGATGCACCTTATAAGATTGTTATATCATGATATAGACCATGTCATGTCTATCTTCTGTCAGATGGAGGGGGTTGGGTTGGGGGGAGCCTCTATCGATCCCCAATGCACACTATACAGCATTTAGACTGAGACGCTGAGTGCACTCACTTTTTACCAGACATTGTAAGTTAAAAAATAAAGAATCATTGGATGCAGTGTTGAAGGTAAAAATACTCTAAAAACCTGGCTAAGTCCAATTCTTTCGTTTGTATTTAGGCATATTGTAAGCTCGGTAATTAATGTCAAATAATGATGAGGCTATCATAGAGAATGATATTTCCCTACATTTTCAATTTGGAGAATGAGCTTGCTTTCTTTCTCTCACATTTTTTAAAGATTTTGAAAGATGTGATCTATCATTTTTGTACATATGAATTTCAAATTTTAATTATGTTCGAAAATGGGAGGAAATACAGAATACATTGAATGCTTTGCAAGAATTTGTATTTAAAAATTGCTTTGCAAAGTATGATTGACATATTTAGATGGGTCTCTCGATCAACATTAGTATGAATAGTGAAAAAATGCTTTGTAAGCAAAATATCTCTCTGCCCATCATTTATAGCTCAGCATAAAGTAACAATACTTGTTATCGGTCAATGAAAATGTCAGCTTTTTAGTGCTTTTCAAATGTAAACAAATGTGGCCATGAAGTATTGTACGGGTTTATTACGAGTTCTCATTATGAGAAATGTTGGGAGAGATTTAGGGTTATAATGTGTATTCCCTTGAAATACCCAGTACTGGCTAATTCATATTGGTATTTGAGTGGCATTCAATAATTGGATTCATGGGTATTTTTACAATTAACATCTTCACAATCGATGGAAATAATTACTTTTTCTCATAATTTCACAGTGTCAATTAAGATAATTGCATGGGGATATTGAGATGCTTTTCATATTTAAAGCATGCACAACATTACGTAAATTAATTGTAATGCAGGGAGCTTTGAAACTAGGGAGTAAAATTTTAATATGAGTTTTTTCTCTCATGATTTATAAGTGGTTATAATCTCAAAAATATTATAGAAAATTACATTTGAGTTTGTTACGCTGCATGTTATAACTTTAATAAACAATTCTGAACCAAAAAAGGATTAACTGAAAGGAAATATTCAGACCTTCACTTGTTTTTCCGATTATTACACACTCAAATCTGCCAAACCCTGATGATTTTAGCTTAGGGCTTATGGTTCGAGCTTCTAAAATAGGCCTTATAATTTCTCTATTTAGTCATCCAATTGCTATTTCTCTCCATCAAAAGAAAAAAGCCAGAATTTTCATAGAGGTCCACTTCCAGTTTTCTTTATTATATGTTTATGAAAATTGGCATTCCTTACAGGGTTTGGTTGTCGTTGTCTATTTGTTTGATGAAATGCAATCTAAGTCATTCAACATTTACAAAATGGAAAAAAAAAATGCATAGTGTTCAGGGAGTGGGGGTGGGGTGGGGGAACTTGGCGGCTGTAGACCTCCTCCATACAATTTGTTTAATTTCTTGATGTTGACAACTCTACAAACTAAAAAGGAAGTTTATTCATCTGTCAATTGTTCATTTACCCCTTTTCAATATTTATTAAAAATATGACTAATCTACACGTAAATGTACATGTGTAAACTTGTATCATGTTTTATATACGAAATGAATTGCACTGAATCTGCTGAGTATAAATACACATTCAGTATTAAAATCAGGGAGGAAAAGAGGATTTTTTAAATATATAAAGGATAACTGACTTAATATTTACTATATCACTGTCAGATGACTTTCAAAACTGTTCAAATAAATCGCAGTACATCAGAATGGTACATTTTTCATTGATTCTACCTGTTTTTGTTATTTGTTAAGTCTAGATGGCCGCTAACGAGTTTTTTTCCTGTTTATCAGTAACATTGTATATTATGTTTGGAATGGGAGTATTCTAGTGAAAAATCAATTGTTTACCTGGGGTTCTATTTGTATGGTGGATATTCCTCTCATGTCTTGCTTCCAGTTACCATGGCAATATTAGTCAAACCAAAGTTTATTATTATGACTGTTATACATTCCACCCAAAGCCAAAGTCAATTTTTGTACGATTTTACCAAATAAGTCTCTATAACCTTTCTTCTAAAGAGGGTCATTGAATATTTTTTTTTAAGTAAAACTGAATGATAAAAATTAATTTTGAAAGGGGAAAAAATCGCAGTTTTGAAATAATTTCCAACATTTGCCGTTCACATGTTTGATTCCTTATTTCCATATTGGTCTCTTAAAATCCATTATCAAAGGAAGAAGTTTGGCGTAAATTGACATCCCACTTAAGGTAAAGTCCAGTTTCGTATCCTGATCCAAACAATATTATCCAAGTGTCACTAACTGGGTGAGCCACTGGGTGCCAAAATCCAAAATTTATCCGTAACTAAACGTTGAAGCCATATTGGAAAAAAAGTCAACTGTTTCTTGATTTTCAACCACCATTGACTCCTTCCTCAGAATAAATCCAATTTATTCAAACATCACTGAGTATCTTTGTAATGAAGTACAGGTATAAATCCCTTTTCTTGATGTGAGTTCAGGTAAAATTGATTAGGAAGTGTCATCTAAGAATGGTAAACGACCTTTCAGCTTCCACATTATTTCGACCATCATCGGAAAAAAAAATCGAGAGGAAATCTGTGTTTACCTGTAAGTTGGTGGTAGGATTAAAACGTTCATCACGGACCTAGGTTCCGTCTCTACCCGTATTGTGGCAGATAATTAACGGTAAATCCCTTTCATCTTCGTTATTGCCAATGAATATGACAAAAATGACACACAGCCGACTTCATATTAGTGAATTTCACATGGAAAACAAGGATTACAGAGAGAAAATGATGGTCTTAGCATGTTTTGCTGCACTTTGCTTGATTACATCACATTTTGCGGGGATGTTTTTTTTTTTTTTTTGCATGGATAAGTTAATGGCCATTGATTTCAAAGATTGGACAGATTTTGATTTGCATGTGTCTATTTCAGCCCAGAGACTGCAGTATTGATCATTTCACCTGTATATTCACTATTCTGCATACCAAATATAAATTATCACTCCCAGCTGATGATTATAGGGACTATTTTTAGACAAAATCATCAAAGAACTAGTGCAATCAAGTGCAGCAGCCTCCAGAACTGATTTACACTCACATTAGCATTAGAATTAGTATTGATGAAGTATCAAAGGTTTAGAATCTGAAGGGTTTCAATAGAAAGAGGTGAAAGGTCAAAGGAAAGAAGGTCATTTGTTGAATTGTTCCACATGCAAACATTAAACTTGTTGGGAATTCCCCCAAGGATGAACAATTTTGATTCATTATTAAATATTTAAGAATTTTGAAATATTCTTTTTCAAGTGTTATAACAATATTAGGAATGAAATAAGTTTCCTCAAGTTTGCATTCCTTATGAAAACCTGAATATGTATTCATATATCTGTATTTGCAATTTCAAAATATTTGCAATTTCAAAATACATTCCTATTGTAAAGTCCTATTTATATATATATATATATATCTCAGATACTCTAGTCTTCAATTTGCATTCTTCAAAAGAAAACCGATCTCAGTGAATTTTTTTGGTAATTTTTTTATTTTCGCTTGTCATAAAATTCCTCCTACCTTGTCATGATGTGAGTGTTTGTGATCGTGGATCTTACTATGGTCAGCGTGGCTAGAGTTAATGCCAGGTAACATGGTCAACACACAAGCTTTGGGACAAGGGCTAAGACATTCAAGATGTACAAGTATTCAACCCCTTGCCTCTATCTAGAAGTTTTCCTTGGTTGTTAAAAATTCTATGACCCATAATACTTTAAAAATTAATAATTAAGATCTCTGGCAACTTTGAACAGTTTTCGGAGTCAATCACGGCATTGATTTCCAACAATGTCTTCTCGGATGAGTGAATATTTAGTAATTGTAGCATGTTCGGTTGCTTGCACACAAGAGGAGCATGCTTTTAGTTGATCGGTAAGACAAAGGATATTTAATAAAGTGTTGGAGATTAATTACTGAATGTGATCGGCAATCTAACGAGATCTTTTGGACCTCCTGTAGAAGTAGAATGACGTGATGATTTGTCACAATTCACAGTAATGAATTTAAAAAAGAACTACATCGGGGTAGATAAAGAGTATTTAAAATGGAGATTGCCCTAATCCATTTTTTTCGAATGAGTGAAGTTGATTGATGAGCATTTCAAAAATCTTTTTAATTATCTTTGTTCCATCTAATAAAAAAAAATCTCTAAATTATGTTATTGGTTCATCTTCATAAGATTATATAAATGATTGAAAAAGAATGTACAAAAATTATTAAAATATAGAAAAAATTGTCTACTAAGCTTTTTGACCTTGGTATTATGACTTCCTTTTTTGGGCATTATCTATGTTTTGTGTTAATAACGATTTGAAATAATAAACTCTAACCAAGTTAATTGCAGCTGTTACCCAATGTTTGCCATTCCCCACATTGAGGCTTTGTTAAATTATTTTGATAATCAATTTAGAGAATGTATCTTCTGTGTCTATCATTGAATCAATACATTGTCAGGGCCCCAGTCAAGGTCTATTTATAGAAAACTCATTTAGGCATCATTAAAAAAAAATAATAAAATCAGGTGTAAAATCAATTCACTATCAGCTTTAAGTGTGTAATTCTTTGTACACAGGCTAGAATTGATGAAGTAGGAGGTAGAGAAAGAAAAAAAAAATTATGAACACACACAAGATAATTAATAGAAAGAGGCGCACAAGGTGCAGAAATGGTTTTTTGTGCAGTTTTGTCTGGGAGAAGTGCTACTAAGCAGGTGTTCCGAGATTCTTGTTTTCCAGCGAAACACAAGTAAATCTACCCACGAGCAGTGCTACAGTCAGAAAGTGGAGACAGACGAAGCCTCCATTTCATCAATTCTAATAGGTACTTGGCATCTCCGTGACGTTAGTTGTCGCCATGGATACCGTTAAACAGTCAAGTTTATTGAGGGAAATATGGCATTGCAAGAGTTGAGCTATGTCCATTTCTATTAGTCAAATTGGCAGAGAAATTCCCCATCCTACGGGGCCGCTTTGTATAGGTTGAGGAAGCTGTGCATGTTGATGCACTTGTTGCTTGTTTTTTGTAGGTCAACGATTCGCAGTATCTGTATTAAAGATGATGTTTAAATGTCATGCTCTGTCAGGTCGGAAAGAGTGGAGTGGTTAATGGAATTTTCATTTGCAATCAATGAGATTTGATTGAAGTAAATATGTATCTCTTAGTTAGGAATTTGTACCAGAGTGATATTGACTCGGATAAACGTTAGAGCATTATGCAGCCAAAAATGCTGTGACATTAGCAAGAAAGACAAGAGCATATACAAAAGTACTTGATTAATTGCTATAATAAAATGTTGTATGCTCTTTGATGATAATTATGTATTACACTGCAATAAATTATATCTCCTCAAGAAATCAATTTCTGATGTGCCCTCGAATGCATTTAAAGTATTGCAAGAAGGATAACTTTTGCAGTGACAGTATTATGCAAAGAATGCCCCAATTGCAATTGCTGCAGATGTGAAGCCAACTAAACAATGGTCCCTTTAGCTGATGATTAATGAAAGAAGAAAGACAGAGTGGAAAAGTAGAAATGCAATGTACCAGGTTAAGGGGAAAGTTTCTGGGGAGAAAACACGAGGATTAAAAAATACAGGTTTTGACCAATGAAAAAAAGAGAAAGGTGTCGTTACCTTGAACCATGAAGAGATCCAAACATCCATACAGATGAAAAGCTTCTAAACTCCCCGACAAATGTACTCACTTCTCACACATTGCACTTGTCACATGCCATCCCCCTCACTGACACACAATAGCACAGGCTGGGGAATTCCTATCATTATCATTAGCCGATGTTAAATCAGAGACAGATTTTTTTTTTACAAGTTGTTTTTTTTTTGTTTTTGTGCTGTTGTAGGTAGTTTTTCGTACAACATGACAGGGAAACGTGGTAAGGGGATCTGAATATGGATCTCTGATTATAAACATTTTATGAAAGCAGGGAAGGTTTTTTTTTTCTTCCCCTACTGCTAATTTAGCCCAATTGTTGTTCTGGTGAAAACCTATAGAGATAGTCCACTGATTACACAGATTATAGCCCATGGTCCTTTGAGACTTTCTTTAGCCTCCACTGCACATTGGTAAATTGGTTCTTTATTGTCACCGACACGAAAAAAAGAGACCTTCAGATAAACTTATAATATTGCAACATGTAAGCTAAGCCTATATATAAAGTAGAGCAAAGAAATAGATCAGTCTTTGCTATACCAACCTGTGGACAATCCAAAATTTCCAGAAAAATGATATATCACACTTTGAAACAATCCCTAATGATATCTTTTCTTTTTTTTGCAGGGGACCCAAGCAATGCTGCCACAAACACGGGAGATCCATACAAGACACTGTTCGTGGCTCGAATCGTAAGTACTTCTGAGACCCACCCCTGATTATGTTGTCATAGTAAGTTCTCTGTCCTCACAACAGGCCGGGGACTGGTGAGGGATAATGGATTTTTTTTTATGGAAAGACTCTTATTTTGGGTCATTAGCCAGATTAATTCCCACTATATTGCTAATTAGAATATATTGACAAAGTTTCTGTCGCCAAAGCGTCTTGTCATAGAATGTGCACTTACATTGTTGCAAAACCATGGGCAATATGTAAGATATACTGTGAAATTACTTATTTTTGTGGGGGGTTAATTTTCATTGTCTTTCGAGGTATGGGGAGACCCGCCATGTTATGTCCACCATGAAATGTAAAATTTCATATATGCATTACTATTTAACATCCTCAACCACGAAATCAAATCCCTACAAACAAATATTTTTCCTTTACCCTGAAAATTTGACCCCACGAAAATGAATGATTTTACAGTAACTGTGCTATTTATAGGTTGAAAGGGAAGCATCTACCCCATATTGACAAAATATCCTGATAAAATCAATATCCCAATTTCCTCAACTTCCAGAATCTGCCCATCCCTCACACTTACATGAAATAAAAGCATAATTCGAGAAAGTTGTGTCTTTTCTGTCATAACTTTATGTTTATCGCTGCACTTTTGAAAATGGATTTGAAAATTTTGACGAATATGAACTCGGTTATCTGAAATTCTCTTTTTTTATCTGTAATCACCTGGTCATTAACTGGGGTTGTAAAAACGCACACACACAAACATAAAAAACTTATTTTAGCAAGTTTGGAAGAAATCGTGGAAACCAATGATTGACAACTAACCACAAAATACAGATAAAACTGCAGCTGCTGGAAGCTCGGTCAAGAGAGAGAACTCTGGCATCAGTAAAACAATTTTACTCGGTACATGTAGTTGAAGGAGTTTCATTTCAAAAATCATGGGTTTGAAGTGAAAACAGATCGATTGTGTTTCACTTAGTTGTCCCATAACTGATGCATAAATGATATGCAAGAGAGAGCATAACGGAGTTCATATATTCTTAATCATGATATTGTGTTGCTTTATTTCCAATAATTTGAATGCTAGTCATTGTTAGGTTTTTCGATGTTAAAATTTTGTTCTTCAGTGATTTTGATATACGCTGGGGATATCAGCCTTAAAGTGGAGGGATAAGAAGATATTGATTTTATGTATATAAGTAGGTAGACACTACTTATAATGAGAAGGGATCTGTTAATTAAATATTAAAATTTCATCTCATTGCATAACGTCAAAGTAACAAAAGTAATACCTCTAATGTGTCTTTGTGACACTTAGTTTACATATTTTATAAACATTTACACAAAATGTCAAAAATATTTACTGGCATCAATTGTAGGATTGGTTTAGAAGGACACCTTGATAGTATTGTTAGTTTGGTAAACATAGGATGAAAAAGAGATGGGGTGAATAAGAGTTTTAAAATAGCCTTCTGTCAATTGAGTCCTTAGAAACAGCAAAATTACTTAATAGCAATATGTTGCCAGAATGTTGACTTACCAAAAAGAACTGAAATGTCACTTGACATGTGGGTGATAATGTATAATCAATCCTCAATGAGGTAAGTGTAACAGTTTGTGAGAGGCTTATTGTTTGACCAATAGATTGTTATACTCGGTGAAGAGCAGATGCTTTTTACACACTCCAATACTGCATTAATGCTTGAACACTTCTGTAGTGGGGAACATGTCTCAAAATTTTCGCATTAACACATTACATTAAGTGAAGGTGTAGACAAGCCATTATTCCTTCAGCACGTGTAAAGTTGATTGCATTTTCTAGGCAAAAATCTGATGAATTGTTTCTACCCTAATTTTTGTATATCGGCTGATGAGGGTAATTGTTAATGAAGATCTCTCAAAATTCAAGAGAGAGAAAAAAAAACATATATAAGATTCAGAGCTAGATTAAAAAATAACTTGAAAAGGAGGGGTGGGTAAGATAAAGTGAATTCATGTATGAAGTAGCTCTAAACCTCAGCAAGCTAACCAGAAGACAGGGGCACCTGTAAAACAGAGTGCCTTAAAACAAGCAGGTAGTTCTTATGATATTTTCTGTTCATCAGATGAGCATTGAGTGAAGAGATCATTTTGAGCCAGTTTCCAGTTTTACCATCTTGTAAAAAAAATAAGAATGTCTTCTTAAGTTTTGGACAATGCTAGACAACTAGAAGTTACTGCTGCCTGCCAAAATATTGAGGTTTGTTCAGGATCATGAACCATCTTACGCTCAAGGCAAAATCTTCATGTAAATTAAGATTTTAAAAATAAAAAATTAAGTTAACAATTATAAGGATAATCTAAGTGAGTTTCTTGATCCTGGGCCCAGGTTACAGACTTTGAGAATTTGGTTTATTGATGTGATTGGTCAAGAGAATTTCCAAGACTCTAACAGTGCAAAGAAGTAGGCCACTTTTTCTATAAATATCCCTCTGCAAAAGGCAATACGATCAATGATACATGTTCAAACAAAAATTAATATGTTGCAAAGAAAGTAAGTCAAGAGAAATTGCAATTAAAAAAGGGTGAGGAAGAAAGATGGAAAGGAATGGCTCATAGTTTATTGTATTGGGATCCTTTATTTTGGCATCATCAAATGGAGGTATATCAAGAATCACATGCATTTCTCATGTACACAAAGGTTTCCCTCTTACAATGAGTAAAAACTGTAAATTATTCCTGCACATTTATAAAGTAACAATTTTGAAGAGTGCAAAAATATGGTTGGTTTTATATCTTACAAAATTTTAAACTTTGCAACTTCTTTCATTTTGCAATTGTTTGAAATAGCTATGAACAGCTTCCAGTACATGAATATGATAATTTTTTTTTTTTTTGAACGCTGTTGAAGTACTCATCCATTATTCAGAAACTTACCTCTCTAGTACTTGCGTATCTAAACATCATTTGAATTTTTGTTTATTTCCAATAAAATTTTTTTACATTCCCATGATGGTCCCAAACGCAACACCATTTACTTGTAGCTATCCCATTATCACCAAGCACAGAGACAGCAATTTTTATATGACAGATGATCAAGAAAGAATAACTCCCTCTAGTAAAAAAAATAGTATTCCTTTTCAATATTTTTGTTGTATCATAAGTCCTGAATATGTCACATGTTTGCGTAGAAGCAACATCTTGTGTCTTAAGAGCATGACAGTTCCCTTGGCAAGGCGAACATGATAACACACAGTCTATTTGGTCACATATGTCTATTAGGGTTCCTGCTTCAGTGGATTGGAAAGACAAAAAAATTTTTTTTTTCACTTTTCACATTTATTCATGATAAATGCTGACATTGAGGAGCTTCAGGGAATGACTGCATGAATATTGCAGTAGGAGTGGAATCTCAGGGGGGTTCAGATGGTGAAAGGCAAGCACTTTAGTGACACAAAATCTTCTTCTTCTTCTTGGGTCACATGTCAATAAATCTCATCCAATTTGAACACTTCTTTATCTTTTAACAAGGATGCCATTTAACGAAATACACATTTTCTAAAATAAAAACCCTTAAGCACTCATAAAAAGATACAATTTTTTCACTCGGGTTTTCGTGTTTTACTCAATTTTTTTTTTTTTTTTGCTGTCGGGAGAAAATTGATCAGAATTTATACACATAGTCCGTTTAGGATTAAAATTGATGGCATCATCTTGGTGTTGTCTAAACATTAGTAATCTGAACAATATGAATGGGTGGGTACTTGCTCATGTTACTGATGATGATCAATGGTTAACGGCTGAGGTCTGTGGACCTGTATTAATGGTCACAGGTAGATATCGGACGCGGATTTAATCACCTCTGGTCAACGCAGCGTTATGTTCAATGTGTTTGCCCACAACATTAGGACACCGGGCCAAAAATAATCGTGTAAATAAGGTGAAAAGGACAAATTGATAATCTAAAATAATGTTATTTTAAATCTACAGGTACTATTGATGCAAAGCATAACTATAGGTTTTTTATTCCCTTGAGTCTTTTATGTACATGTACCAGTAAGGTCAGCAGTCTCTTTTAAATACCTGGCACTCTTAAAAATTTAATTAGTTTAATTGATTACAGTCAGGTATCTTTATTTGTTTCTGCATGCCTTGAATGTAGTAGAGGACAGAAAATATTGGAATTATTTTTTCAAAACTTTGTATTAATTTTTTAAAAGCTCAGAATATATCAGGACAATAAAAAAAAAGACAATTATGGTTGTAAATATAGACGCCAATGTTTTTTTGCTTTTTGCAGACTTTTATATTTTAACTAATTCAGATATACTTATGATGCACACTACAATCTTTTTGAAAAGAAATCTTAAAATGAACTTATTGGAAAGTTTTTGGCTACCTTTCTAATCATAATTGATACATGTACTATACATATTAACATGACTAGTTCAAGTCCAAATCCAGGTATCTTAATGTAATATTGTAACCAAACTTGCTTTAGATGCTGGATGAGACCTACATTAAATGAATGATTGAAATAGTTAGAGTTTTCTGAGTAGGTCATTTTCCATGTAACTGGCTGTTACTTGCAAGTATGTTGCATATATTACATTGTTCAATTCCCTCCTTGAAAATTTTTCACTCATACGGAGAAGCCACCACTTGCCGGTGGAGAGCTATAAATTTTGTCCTATGCTCAGTACTCAGGGCCATTGAGCTGTGAGGGATCTTTTTTGTGCCAGCACCTTCTGCGACACAAGACCTCTGTTTATAAAGTCTCATGTAAAGGACCGGTCTTCACATCCCACAGTGGGATTCTAACCCCCTGCATAAGGATCAACTCCTTTGCGACTCTAGAGCAGATGCCCTAACCACTGCGCCACGCGGGCGACTAAAAAAAAAATTACAGAGAATGATAATAGAGAGGCTTCACAATTAACCTTGACATCAAAATTATAAGTCTTGAAAAATTCAGTGTGAAAGTTTTGCCCAAAGATGCTATTAGTATACTTGTGCTTACACT